TATTCAGTTGATATGTTTTATTACCAATTTCATAAAAATACAGTATAATTTAAAACAAACCTGCCTCCTTATAGGAATCCAATCTACATTCCCATTTTCTCTCAATTAATCTCCTTTTAAGCTTTGTTTGTTTTAACTTTAAGACACAGAAAGCCATTACAGCAAATAGTACAATTCCCATCAATACCAATTTGTTATTTATACCTTTCGAAATGTATGTCTGGTACCATTTTTTTTCTGCAGTCAACTCGTAAATAAGACAATTTTAAAGTAATTAGTGGAATATTTAAAATTCTGACATTATTTCTTATTAATATTACTCTTTAGTGGGTAGACATGTTTTTTTGTTTTCTTTTACCATAGAAGACGTAACGTATAAGTCATTGTAAATATTTAAAGACAGAATATATTTCAGCTGTAATACAGCTTCTTTCAAGATGCTGCTTTGTGGAAAACACTTTAGAAGATGCTTCTCAGACCACTACAAGATTAAGGTCTTCAAATCAAGTGTCACCTATTGTCTATCCTACATATCCTCAAAATCCGTGCTTCTCACCCCCTCCCCTTACGTCTATAAAACATCCTTATTTCATCTGGGTCATATATTGTATGAACATAGTTTTTAAAAAGAAGACAATAAATAAAACAGTTACATATATTTTCAGTATTTTTATTAATTAAATGAAGTGTTTTTTTTTCTGGTAATGAAGTGTTTTTTTTTCTGGTAATGAATGCATATACATTTCTTGTTTTAAGAGTTGCTATTCAATAATTTTAAATCTAATGCAAAACAAATTCTTAATGCTACAAAGAACACCACGTTATTTTTCTTAGACTACAGGACATTTTACGAAAGACGTTGTAAATAATACAAAATACCTTTTATAATAGCTATTTGTATGTCTCACAATGAAAAATCAATTTGTAATGCATTTCAACTGCGAATGTTTTCAATGAAAAATCGATTGCTACGTATTTTCAATGTAAAATCTTTTACTATTTCTATAATAAATAATTAGCAATTCGCTTCTCTTGCAAATTGTTGCATATCGCATTTCCAGTGCAAAGCATTCTACAATGGATGTCTTTCTGTGAAAAGATATTGAACAACTTTATTATAAAATAATTTGTTATACATTTCCGACAGTGAAGCTGTTACCAAGACCTCTTGAATTAAAAGTCATAAGGTTCGTAACACAGAAAATAAAATCTGCGAGCAAAGTTCAGATTCCGGCTTTGTCTGCTGCGTTTACTTCACAAGAATGCGCTTCTTATCCTAACTATAGGTCAAACAGCGGAGTAGATTGAACTCTCCAACCTTGAAGGATAGCCAAAGTTGGGAAAGGAAATTTCTGATTTCAAACTGTAGAGGAGCTAAACGAGAAACTACTCCACTATCTTTCCCCCCCAAAAAGGACATTAGATAGATAATAGCGAAACGGAATCTGTGTGGAACCATGAATGGTTGCACTCACGAGTAAAATGAGCTCTGAAGCACTGACATTTTTACATTTACTCCTATACTAAAATTACCATAATAATATTAGTAAGTTGATTTACTTACCAGAAGAAATCAATGTAGTATCGTTTCTACCACGATCAATGTATCTTTTTATTAAGTATCGTTTCCCCTACGATCAATGTATCGAATTATTAAGTGTCCTTTCTACCACGATCAATACTCGTTTTATTAAGGGCCGTTTCTATCACGATCAGTGTAGCATTTTATTAAGGGCCGTTTTTACCACGATCAGTGTATCGTTTTATTAAGGGTAGTTTTCACCACAATCAATGTATCGTTTACATGTCAGTGTTTTGTTGCATGTGCCGATCTTCTGCAGGTATCTGTTGATCGGGGTAATCTTCAGGAAATTTCCGACTGAGGACTTTATTTAAACTTCAGAGTTCTGAAGAATTTGTTCTCGTTCCAATATTCCTATCTACAAATGTCCCGAGTTGTCCTTTTTATTACTGCTCAGTTAGAGCCAGTCCTATTTCTACCAGTTTTTTTTGGAATAACTTGCAGATGTGGTTAAACTGTCCAAAATTGATGCTTTCATCCTTTTAATTGAGATTTTTCTAATGCTTCTGCAATTATAAAACACGAAATGTCCTTAATGTTCTTTATTCCCGGGAATTTTGGCTAATTAATACATTTCAAGTTTAAATACAAGTGTATTACACACACACGACACACACATACACACATACTGCACGTGAAACACATGTGCATGTGTCGGTGTGCATTTTCGAATATAATGCATATGTATGTGTATTGATATGTAAGTATAGGTACTACTTTTAAGATAATTACAATGTCAGCGAAAGGTGACTGAGTAAAATATTTGAAATCAAGAATACGAGTTATATATAACTCTTAACAAATTTCCTCTTTTACATTCTCGGTGTTTCTGTATTAGGTCAAGTTAAGATCTATCTATCTATCTATCTATCTATCTATCTATCTATCTATCTATCTATCTATGTTTCTGTCTGATTATTTATATATACATGTCTGTATTATTTTGACTACATGTATATATATATATATATATATATATATATATATATATATATATAGGTAGTCAGATAAATATATATATATATATATATATATATATATATATATATATATATATATATATAAATATGTGGATATAGATCCGACAGTATGAAAAAAAATATGGAAAAACAAAAATCCGAATATGCAAGTTATTAAAACAGCATACTTGCATATTCAGATTTTTGTTTTTCCATATCTTT